GCCAGGCGGTTTGCTTCAAATACTTGAGATTCCTGAGTGGAAATGGGAGTGTGTTACCATGGACTTCACTGTTGGGCTCCCATGGACTTCGAAGAAATTTGATGCAGTTTGGGTGATTGTGGACCGGTTGACCAAGTCTGCACATTTTATTCCGGTTGTGACTACCTATTCTTCAGAGAGGCTAGCTGAGATCTATATCCACGAGATTGTTCGTCTTCACGGTGTGGCAGTGTCCATTATTTCTTATCGGGGCACACAGTTCACATCGCATTTATGGAGGGTCGTACAATGTGAGTTAAGCACACAGGTTGAGTTGAGTACAACATTTCACCCCCAGACGGACGGACAGTCCGAGCGCACCATTCAGATATTAGAGGATATGCTTCGTGCCTGTGTTATGGATTTTGGGGTTTCTTAGGATCAGTTCTTGCTGCTTGGAGAGTGCGCCTACAACAACAATTACCAATCGAGTATTCAGATGGCTCCTTATGCGGCCTTTGTAGGAGATGGTGTCGTTCTCCAGTTGGTTGGTTTGAGCCGGGAGAGGCTAGGTTGTTGGGCACAGATTTGGTTCGAGATGCCTTAGAGAATGTCAAGTTGATTCAGGATCGGTTTTGTAAAGCCCAGTCTAGACAGAATAGTTATGCTGATCTGAGAGTTCGTGATGTCACATTCATGGTTGGAGAGAGGGTTTTACTCCAGGTTTCACTCATGAAGGGTGTGATGAGATTCGGAAAGAATGGCAAGTTGAGCCCTAGGTAAATGGGTCCTTTCGAGATCCTTAAGAGACTAGGGGAGGTGGCCTACAAGCTTGCATTGCCACCTAGCTTATCTGCAGTTCATCTGGTGTTCCATGTTTCTATGCTCCGAAAGTATTATGGCGATCCGTCCCATATTTTAGATTTCAACTAAGTCCAATTAGACAAGGATTTGACTCAAGTTGAGGAGCCGGTGGCTATTTTGGACAGAGAGGTCCGGAAGTTGAGATTAAAGATCATTGCTTCAGTGAAGTTTCCATGGAAGGGTCATCCGGTCGAGGAGGCGACCTCGGGGACCGAGCATGACATGTGATGTCGTTATCCTCACCTTTTCATTTCTTCAGGTATGTTTATACGCACATTCGATGAAAGTTTGTTTTAAGAGGGGGAGAATGTAATGAACCGACCGATTGTTTTGTGTAATTGCACCATGTTTCCTCTTCTTATGCTTCACACATGTGTAATTTAGGTTTTATGACTTTAGGGGTTGATTGGTTTCGTTCCCGAAAGATTTCGGATTGATTTAGACCCTTTGGCTCTTAGATTAGAAGCCTAAGTTGATTATGTTGACTGATATTTAAATTTTGTGAAACCAACCCGGAACGGTATTTTGATGGCTCATGTAGTTTCGTATCATGAATTTGGACTTAGGCGTATGCCCAGAATCGAATTCAGAAGTCTTGTAGGTTAATTTGTGTTGTTTTGCCAAAAATTAGCAATTTGAGGTTTAGAAATTTGACCGTAGGTTGACTTTTGGATATTGGGTTCATAATTTGATTTTGGGACTTGGAATAGGTCCTTTATGCTATTTAGTACTTGTCTGCAAAATTTGGTATAGTTTGGAGTTGATTTGATATGATTCGGACGCTTAGTTACAATTCTAGAGGTTCTTGAACTTTACTTTGAAATTCATGTGTTTTGGTGTCCGATTTGTAGTTCTAGATGTTATTTCTGTATTTTGATCGTGAGAGTGGGTTCACATGATGTTATTAGACTTGTGTAGATGTTTGGTTTGGATCCTCGAGTGCACGGATGAGTTTCGGACACGTCGCGGAATGGTTTTGGACTGAATGTGAGATGTTGGTGTGCTGATGCCTCTGGTATCACATTTATGAACACCAGGGTCAGAATTGCGGCCTTATCAGGGGGATCATAGGTATCGCAATTGCGATTCCCCGTTCGCAATTACGAAGTTGACCTGGGCTGGGCTAGGTTCACATTTGCGATAACTCTGTCGCTTTTGCGAAGGGAACAGGGTTCACATTTGCGAACCCCTTTTCGCATTTGCGAGGTTTCCCTTAAGACTATGAGTTCCGCAATTACGATCTTTTCTTCGCAATTGCGACCCCAGTGTCGCAATTGCGACACCTGCAACTGAACAAAATGTTAGAAAGTCAGGATTTCATATCATTCTATCATATTTTAGAATCCTAGGCTCGGTAAGAGGCGATTTAGAGAGGAGATTTTCATCTACAAACATTGAGTAAGTGATTCTAATCAATTTTCAACTATATTTCATTAATATATCTTAGATTTAACATCAAATTCGTGTGAATCAAAGTGAAATTTTGTGAAATTTTGCCCAAGTGTTGGAAAATAAGAATTTAAGTTTTGAGAGTCGATTTGGACTCGGATTTGAAAACTAATCACATATATGGAATCGTTGGGGTTATGTGTAGTCCAAATTTATCATTGGACTCGAATTTTGACCGGGCAGGCCTGGGGTTGACCTTTTTTTACTTTTTGAGAATTTTGTAAAGATCAAAACTTTATCTATTGTAATTATTTTCCCTTGCAGTGGCAGATGATATTAAGTCACTTTTGGCTAGATTTGAGTTGTGTGGAGGCGAATTTTAGGGAAAAGGTCATTTTCGAGGGTTGAGTTGGCCTAGTTGAGTTAAGTATCTTGCCTAACTTTGTGGGGGGAGGGGGGGATTACCCTTTAGGATGTGGGTTGATTGTACTATTTGTGTTATGTGAAAACCGTGTATGCAAGGTGACGAGTGGGTACGCGGGCTATATGTGGTATTTGATCGGTTTAAACTATTTAGACTCTTTTTATGCCTTTAATTGAATTGTCATAACATGTTATACCTTTCTTTGTTAGCCTACCCTTGCATGTGTTAATCTACCCTTACATGCTTTATTTGACATTGTTAATATTTGTTTCACCTCTTACTTGTTATTTTGCTCTTATATGCTTTAGTCGAGGTTATTGCCTTACTTATTGTCTTGTTACTTCTTTAATTGTTGAATTACTTACTTGAAGTTGTTATTTCATGGAATATCTTCTTGTTAAGTTATTGGTGTTGAAGTTGTAAAAGTCATTATCACATTGAGGCGAAGTTGTTAAATTATTGAGATATCATTCTTGTTGAGCCATTCACTTTTATTTCGTTATTGTTGAGATTTTTGTACATGTTGTGGTTGAACCATGGACTATTTGTTGTGAAAATATTGGTATTGTCGATTCTTTTGGCAAGTTGTGGCATATGGGCACTTGTGGTGCAAGTTGTTATTGTGTTGTGATATTGAAGCGCATGCGGCGGTATAAGGATAGGGAATAATGTGCATGCGGCGGCATAAGGTGGGATTTATGTGCGTTCTGCTAGTAAGGGAATTACTTATAGCCACACGACGACATAAGGTGGGCTAAAATGCGTATAGCTATTTCAGAAAAAATATTTTTTTTCAAAACTATCTAAATGTAAGGCTCATGCGGCGATATAAGGAAAGATTGTGATTGAAATTGTGAAATGTGAATACGAGGTGGTACCTCGGTTATGATTCTTGTTGTGCATTTCATATTGAAAAGAGTTATTAGTTGAACAGTTCTTGCTGCTTTTATTCTTCCTTGTCTTATCAGTTTTGTCTGCATTTGACTATTTGTGGTTCTCATTATTTGCTTCTTTCTTGTTATCTTTATGCTTACAATTCTGTAACCGGTTTACATTATTAAATTGCTTCGTTATCATTCATTCCTCCGCTTTCCATTACTTCTCGCTATTATATTTTTGTTCTGTTTATCATGTTTTAGTAAGTATCTTGACCTGGCATCGTCACTACTCTACCGAGGTTAGGCTTGATATTTACTGGGTACCGTTGTGGTGTGCTCGTACTACTCTTCTGCACATTTGTGTTGCCGATCCGGGTACCTCGACTCACGCTAGGCATCAGTGAGCGGATCACTCAGTTCGGAGACTTCAAGGTATACCTGCTCGGCGTTCGCAGGCTTCGGAGTCACCTTCTGTCCTTATTTTGCTACTGTTTACTCTTTATCTAGACAGTGTTGTACTAGGGAACAGTATATTCATGTATAACTTATGACTCAGTTCCACCAGATTCTAGGAGTTTTATTGTCAGTTGTACGGTTGAGTTCTATTATGATAGTTTAGATGATTTTAAATTTGAAGTTTTATTATTATTTCCGTTATTTCTCTATGCATGTTAGGCTTATCCAGTCGTAGAGACTAGGTGTCATCACGACATTATAAGGTAGAAAATTGGGGCCGTGACAAGTTCATGTATAAACTGTGGTACACGGGATCTTGACGTTTCCAAAACAAAAGTCTGCGTAATTTTTTTTAACTTTTTCAAACTATTTGTTGAGTTGTTTCTGGAAAAAAAAATTCTTGTGTTGAAGATTACCAAACGAGTTTTTAAAACTTGAACCAAAATTGAACTCGGTACTGTCATATAAGATGGAACGGGATAAGTATATTGTTTTGTAAACTGAAATTTCACTCCAAACATTGAAGATAATTATGTTTAAAGATTATAAAGTGAGTTTTAAAGGTGAAGAGCTTCTCTGTACGACAGCAACAGTGCAACGGTTATGTACCAAAACAATGTTTTCAAGTCTTCTTATATTAGTTCCCTTGATTCCTCTATTGTTTTTTGGTATATACAAAAGCATAAGTAGAAGGAAGGCCTTTTTTTTTTTCTTTTTCTTTTATACGTATCTGTACCTTAGCAAGTATAACATGATATTTCTATTCAATGATTTACTCGGTCAATTCTTTTGGCATCGTTGTGAAGGCAGTATATTCACCCCCTTTTTTTGTAACTTCTACTTTTTTTTGGTTACTTCGAATTGTATAAATTGCAGAATGTTTGGAGAAAGCTCTATTCTGAGAATCATTAACAATACAGTAATAGAGGACAAGCGTTAAAGGGCAGAAAACAAACAAAATGGACATCTACGCTTTGAGAATTTCAAACATGCCATAAATTCACCTCAAATGAATGCCAATGAGATGAACAAATGAAGTTTGACAAAGATTTATGATCAAAGTTGATGGTTCTTAGAACAAGAGTACACTTAAGGATTCAAAGTGAGAATATCTCCATTACATATAAGAAGCAACTTCCGTTTTTGTATAAGCAACAAAATGCTACATTTATTCATCGACCATATCAAGAGATGACATCTTTTTATCAGTATGCCTAGTTAGATTCAGCATAGCAGAAGTTTGAGCTTTAACTGCAGATTCTTAGTTGCTGCTTTTGCAAGACAGCCAATAACAAAACTACGCCTTTGTAGAAGGGAGGTCCAGGAGGACACTGAATAAAATTTCTGAAATGGCTTTCTATGGGTCATATTCTTCTTCCATTTCTCACAGGAAAGACGAAAAAGTTACCTCCTACAGTATCTCATCCTTTCACCAACCAACAAGACAGCAGAGCTTAAGCTCACGAGGGAAATCATTTCAAAGCAAACCATCATGGAATCAAATTGCCACTCTTTGTGCCTGCAAACATTGAAATGAATTCATAAATGGAGTATTATATTGCACAAATCAGAAATCAACAGTTGTCTAAAAGATCCAGGGAAAACTTCTAATGTTGCAGTTGGGCAGAAAATAATAACAAGCAGAAACTGCAGTTCCTTTGATTGGAGAGGCAAGTCCAAAGAAAAGAATCAGGGGATACATACTGGTGTTCTCGGGAATTAACGTGCCACCCATGTCACATAAACTAAAGGAAGGAAAATCACCTTGAAATAAGACATGATTATAGGCAAATCTTGAATTTAGATGCTGCATTTAAATGTCTTGAAACATATATCTTGCACTGCTAGTAGGAATGTCAAATAACTTTTGTCAGTGTAGCATCTAACTTCTCTCCGATCAATGTGATCCATGCCTGTCAATGACGGAAAAAAGCATGACTAGGGTGCATTTAAAAGATGGCAAAAGGGGATACCAATATAAAGTGTGAATTTCATGACATTTGAATATCTAAAGAGAACAAGTAAAGCTCAAACCACGATAGAACAAATCATGGTAGAGTTGTTAATGCTACCAAAAGTCATTTTAGGCAAGTACGATGACATACGCCACAAAAAAAACCATTTGTGTTCTACCGCTTTCCAAAATCAAAGGTGAGGCAATACAATTAAGTGTACAAGCGCAACATGAATCGTGATACATACTTGGTCAGAAGATGTGAATCCTCTGATTGTGTCACCACCAATTATGGCAATTCCTTTGTCACCTAGAGGTTGCAGGATTACTGCCTAATAAAGTATTATGGTATCAGTAACCTTCAGGTAAAGATTACAACAATAACAACAACAACATACCAAGTCTTATCCCACACCGTGTGGTCTGGGGAGGGTAGTGTGTACGCAGACCTTACCCCTACCTTGTGAGGATAGAGAGGCTGTTTCTAATAAACCCTCGGCTCAGGAAAGCATAAGCACTACATTAATGAAAATATAGACAAGAAGGGACCTTCAGGTAAAGATTGAACCTCCAAAAAAAAAAATATAATGAATATGAAGGAAGTATGATAACACAGATCATATAGATATATACATTTGGCAGAGACTTTGAATGATTCAAGAATTTTTTGAAGAGCAAAAACAAATGCTCATTTAACTGCTATAGGGGTATCTGCACATCTTTAGTACAATTTATATCGTGGACTTAGGTGAAATGAGACAAAGTTTTGTGCCACAGGAGAAGGGGGGGGNAATCAAGCTCATGTTAATCTAACTTCTTAACGGATGCTTGGAAATTTAAACAATGTCCTGATCTTTCAAAACCTGCTCTCGGGCTCATAACTCTTTCACCCACTTGTTTTAGGAAGGAGAAATATAACTATATCTCGAAAGGTAGAGGAAATGAGAGGTTCAAGTGATATCACTCACGCGGCGCTGATTTTAAAACTCCTTGGTAAAGTGATCCTTCTATCAACTTATTGGTGTCCACAGCTACTGCATCGCTTCCATTAGAGGATGATGCAGCAGCAAACCCAATTTGAAGGATGCATTTTCCATCATAAACAATGACCAGCGATCTGCAGCATGTGACATCTGATAGAGAATCCCAAGCCCTGTGGATTAAACAAAAAAGAAAGAGTAACACTTCAGTAGGCGTTTGGAGAATATTTCGTTAAAGTTGAAACTAAAGAGTATTTGAAGTTGAAGTTGAAAAAGAGAATCTGAGAGTTGAAGTTGCATTCGTGTATGAATTTTACTTGGAAAAGAAGTTGAAGTTTTGTGAGTGAAAACCATTATATCTTCACTTTTTTTTTTGAAAAGGTAAAGGTTTATTAACTGAATACCAAGATGGTACCAGAAAGAAGTACAAAATTGCTGGGGATATCCATGCAGTTAATTACAACATTTTCTAAGTAGCTCCATAAAGTCCATGTAATGATCAATACTATCTACCACACTACTGTTACACCAAAGAAATAGATTATGCAAACACTCATTTTTTATTCTAAAAATATGATCTTTCTGCCCATCAAAGCAAGCTCTATTTCTCTCTAGCCAAATAGTCCAGAATATGCACAGAGGTATGGTTCTCCAAATCTGTTTAAGTGCTTCATGTGTCTTCTGATGCTTCCAACTATTCAATAGGGTCCTGACATTCTGAGGCATGGTCCAAGAAATCCCACATAAATTGAAAAAAAGCTCCTAGCACTGTCTAGCATATCTACAATGCAAAAGAAGGTGAATAGTAGTCTCCAGTTCTTCTTCACACAAATAGCATCTGCTACAAAAAACAAAGCCTCTTTTCTGAAGATTATTTTGGGTAAGACAAGCTTCCCAAGCAGCAGTCCAAAACATGCAACCTTTACAGGAGCTTTATTCCTCCAAATCACTCTCCAAGGCCAATTAGGTTCCCAGTGACTTGCATTTTTCCTTAACAAGTTATAACAGCTTTTGACTGAGAACTTTCTGTCATAACTAGCATTCCATATTGATGAATCCTTCTTACTATGATTCAGTGTGGGTAGAACTCAACTGAGAGAGCATCTGACAGAAATTTTCTATCTCCCAATCATTCAAATTCCTTCTGAAGCACATCTGCCAGCTAGAATCAGAATAGAAATCAGCTACCACTCCATCCTTATTATTACAGCAACTAAAAAAAACAGGAAATTTATTTTTCAAACATTCCTCACCATTCCATAAGTCAATCCAAAATTTAATCTTTCTGCGATTCCCCACCACCAACTAGTAAACTGCTTGAACTCCTCCCATAGTTTGCAAACCTTTTTCCAGATTCCCCCTCTAGTACTTCACTTACAATACTCGTCAAAGACTTTTTCAACATTTCAGAGTATTTCAATTACTGAAATTAGGTATTGGCAAATATTGATGGCCAAACTTCAACGTGCAAATAATGACTTCACTATTTGCATGTGAAGTGATGGCCAAACACAACAAATTATCATCAACAAGTCTTTTCCATAGAGATCACAGGTTTTCTCATCTAAAAGAACATCAGGAAATGTATAAAATTGCGTTAAAGTGCGCTTTCTTGGTTACATATCATTTGCTTACTGGAAGAGCATGTTTAAGGAATTAGCAACACATTCTCTTTCAGGACAAGTTGTCTATTATATCAGTGCTATAGAACATACAGTTGCGCTAGTGAATACAGGATTCATACACTATTCACTATTTAGAATGATGCCACTTTTCCTTTATACAACCAAATATATTTCAAGAATCAAATCATGCGCGTTCCCACTCATTAAGAAAAACATTACGGTAAATTGGTGGAGCTAGAGTTCTAGTTACGGTTCAGTAGAACCCAGTAGCTTTGGCTAAAACCGGTATTTATGTTAAATAATCTACTTAATATGCATAAATAATTTATCCAGAACACAATGAGCTGCCTTTTTTAAGATTCAAAATCTATAAACTCAAAATTCTGAATCCACCTCTGGGCAAATCCCTTATCCGCAGAGGCCAATAGAGGCTTTTGCCCGTTTCTCGCCCTTAATGACTTGAGCGCCCAGCCTCATCGTTAGGTGGAGGGTCCCTTCCACAAAATCAACCCACTCTTGTCAACAAAATACAACTTTTCTAAATACTTTGAAAGACATAAACGTTGAATATTTATAAGTTCAATGACATAGTCTCCTCTCTACTGATTTGACAAGAAGTATCATGCAGCGTAGCTGTCACAGTTATGTGACCTTCAATCTGATTTTTTCTTCACAAAGGAAAAAATTATTAGATTCACTTCTTGAGTGCAACTTATAGTCATTAAACAGATCATGTAATATGTATATATATGCACAAACAGATCAAGTTATTAATACTTTACGTGATCTCCAAGTACAAAAATAAGCAAGTAATAAAGAACATCTCTTTAAAAAATATTCAACTCATATATACAGTACCAGAGCAGCTCAGAAATAACAAAATCTGGTAGGTTGGACGCTATTCTTTGGCACTTCACCCCGTTAGGATTTACCTGGAAAAAAATCAAAAGGCATAAATTGATCAGTTACTCTAATGGTGTAACAACAAGAGGAAAACTAAGCAATGAGCTGAGCAGAGATAGTGGGACACAATGTACATATCCTCATGTGTGTATGTGTGTGTATACAGCCCTCACCACAGATATGGTTTTTGGGCGAATTGAAAGCCAAACAAGACCATTTAAGATGTTGGTGACTGCCAAGCCAAGTGTTAATAAATCTGCTCTGGATTGAGAACTGTGCAAGTCAAAAGCAAATAGTTATAATAGTGGCCCAAGAATATGTAGAAAATTAAATTACATGAGAAACAGGAAGCTAAAAACTGTTTATGTGTTCTGCATAAAAGAAAAGTGCTGCTCCTAAAAGAAACATACTGTCTCAGCTACATATGATTGTGAAAAAACTTATGCATCCAACTCAATATCTAAGGGTAATAGGTGGAGTAATAAGATCATTATAAACTGATATGGAAACACTTATTTAACAAATATGGGACTTCCATCCATCCAGAGCTTTAACTTTTTCTTCCCACATGTTTGACTCATTTGATCTCAAACGTGGATTTTAAAGGGAAAAGGTCAAGATATCTATAAGCTAATTGGGAACCCATATTTAACCAATGTGGGAATTTGTTCAAACTATGTCTCTAACAATGAGTAAGTGAATTAGTGAACAAACTTTGAAATGGCTTAATGATTAGAGCACATACACCCAACTTAATATGAAGAGGATCATGCCCCTTCAAAGTCCTAACAATTGCTTTTCATATCACAGAGATTTTACTGGTTCAGCATTCTCTTCCAATTATCAGATAGAGTCTACTAAAATCATTTCAATATGTAATGATTGGGCTATTAAGAAACTTCACTAACTATTTCCAAAAGGCGAAGACCTCAGTTTTTTTGTTTCTGAAATACAACGAAGGCATTCACCTATTATAAGATGTCTCTATTGTGTTCAGCCAAAAACTCATGTTGACAGAGGATTCATTAAATAGGTGTAATCTTATAAAGCAAAACTAATGCATCTATTCTTCTACATATGTCAGATGCAAATCTCGTTTCATACTTTAGTAACACTTTTCCTTTTCCTCTTAAGATGATCCATAAGTATATACCAAATGATGTGTGTGTGTGTGTGTGTGTGTGTGTGTGTGTGTGTGTGTTTCTCTTCTTCTTTTCCTTTTAAACCAAAGTTTAGCTGAAATCCTGCCATTACCAAGGATTTAACTTCTGCAAACAGATAGTTTTGAATTTCTACCAGAATTACTTTCGTTTTCTTAAATTAGTAGATACAAATCGGTTTTTTAAGTAGCCTGATAATGTAAGTGCGTAAAAATTAAACTCATTGTAATACCAACATTCTAGAATTACTCGACAAAATTCAAAGCTACTCATTAAGAGGTAATATTCCAGGACATCAATTGCAGCCCCAAATTCTCTCTTGTCTCTTTCAAATTTTACACCCCTTTGTAGCAAGCTTCTAATTGTAACACATTCATTTGATAACAGCCCTGCCCAGCTATAGAAAGGAAGAAAAATAACTGCCAAATGATCCCTCCACTCCATTTTATATGACAATATTTCCTTATTAATCCTTCCAAAAAGAATGTCACATTTCTATACTTGGAAAAAATTCAACTTTCAACTCCCATTTTATCCTTAATGACATATTTCTATAGCCAGAGAAATTGAAACGGAGGAAGTAGTAGTAGTTAACCTGCTAGCATCAGCGACGGGAGCAATACCAGAGACCGTGCGATTGAAAAGAACAGCTAATAAAGACAATCCACCAACGTATATCGGCAAGCTCCGAACTAAATCATCATTTTTGGATACCCAATCTGCTATCCATTCCCTCCGCGGCTTCGGCCCTCTATACCCACTTCCTCCCTTCATTTCTCGTCACGAATTTTCCAAGTGAGCAAATAACCAATACGCACAAAGACAATGAATGTGGATTTGAGAGTATCTGGGAACTAATAGAAGCCTTAACAGTAACAAAGGAAGGGAAAGAGGAGAGGCGCCGAGAATGTACAAGTCGTTGTGGCGGTTGGTTTAACGGAATGAAACCAAGGAGATTTCCCGCTTCCATTGATTAACAGGTTCGTTTTTCTGTCTGATTCCAAAATGTTCATAAAACGGATAATGTCTAGCTTCCAATCACAATAAATGAATTCCCCCCC